TATATATATATATCTTTGACTGTTGCAGAGCCTAACTTGTCAAAAATAATAGTAATATATATATATCATTGACTGTGGCAGAGCCTAACTTGTCAAGAATAATGGTAATATATTCATATTATTATTATATTCCTACCTTTCTTGACCGGGTAGAGCGCTCGTGCTGATAACGTGTTATAAAAATGTGAGGAATATAAAGAACACAATGTATAAAACCGGATATAACTCAAACTGTTCTTTCTTTCTTTCTTCACTTTCGTTTCTATTTTCGGTGTGTAGAATTACACTACATATCTTGCCCCTTTTATAGAACTAGTAAAGTGCACGTGCGATGCACGTGGTGTCGAATGATTTTCGTGGAGTAAGTTTGTAAAATAAATTAAGTTATTTATTAAACATATCATTGCATAAATGAAGTAAAATATAGAAAAAATGAACTCATATGTGATTTTTTTTTATTTAGAATTGACATAATGATGTCCTCATATAAAAATAGTTAAATAACGTTTTACAAACCCCAACAAAAATATATATAAAAAAACAAATTCCTAATAAGAAAACACAAAGATTTTCTTTCATTTTAGTTTTAACGTTCTCATAAGAACATTCATAGTCGTTGGAGTCCAATACATCAATAATATTGCAAAATTCTTCTTAATTAATTTGGCAAAACACCTATTTTATTCAAACACTTAAGAAACATTCTGACCCAACATATAGTCAAACTTCATGATCGTATGATCTTTATAACAAGGTACGCACTTCTACTAACAAAAGATAAATATCTCTATGAAATAACTAACGGTGTCACTACAATTGCTGATAGTTTTTATCACTGTATAAACTACTACATTCCTCTATTTCTAGATATATTGGTGTCTACCCCATTGATGCATCGCCCCACGAGGTGAGAATGAATTTTATCTTCAAATAAAAGTTGACTTTCCAAAATCTTGGTTACATGTACTTCTCCCGAGGTGTTAAATTATTTTTTGAAATCATCATACATTACCTGAAAGTACCTCTAAAGTAATTGCACATATGTTCAAGCACAATACACCAATGAGATTATAAATATTTCTATAAAAAGTGACAACTTAATTCTAACATTCAAAACTGTTTTGATACTCCTACATTTCATTTTCAGTGTTATTTATCTAGAATATAGATGAACAATATAATCTATTTTTTGCAATGATAAAACAAAACAATGAGAAAATATTAAGAAGCATATCATTTGTTAAAATATTTGACAACAGAAGAATTAGAATTCCATTATATGACGATACTTTTAGTCATTTGTAAAATTTATTATTATGAAGTCATGATTAAAATATACATCATGTATACGATTTTTTAGATTTTTTTATTTATTTAAAATTGAAAATAAATAATATATGATCATTATTTATGAGAACCAATTTCTTACAGAGTTCATATATTTAATGTTAGCAACAAAAAAGTAGTAATTTTAAAAGACTTTATGTTTGTAAATATTGGTATTCATACCTTTCTAAGAAAATTAGCATGTTTTCTTTTTCTCATTGCATTACTATTATATTATTTGTTTCTCATTCAATAGACAAATAATATTTTATTTGCTAAGTAACTAAAGCACATTTATACGTATTATGTTATTTTCTGTATGTGTTTTATATAATGATGGTATCAAATTATCTTATTTATTAGGCTACAATTAATATAATCACATAAGATTAAATGTAATTTAATATATTTGATAAAATTGTACTTTTTATACGAATTATTAGATTAAAAAGTTTTAGAATTTTTTCCAATGTTTGATAAAATATTAATTAACTAAGTCATTTTCATAATCACTGAATACATATATGGTACCACCATTATAGGGTTCATTTTGCAGCAGTAATTGACTTTACATAGCTAATGTTATTTTATTTCCTTTCTCTGGCCTAGCCTTTCTTTTATCTATTACTTCACATTGCTTCGCTTCGTTTGTACCCTAAGGTGCATTTGTCATAGTTTCAGCATTACGACAAACTCGTGTCAAACATATATCGGATTTGGGCGCTCTAGCCAAAACGAGGGACCAGTTATAAGTTTACACCCATTTTTTTACTTTTTTTTTAATATGAATTGTTTCAAATTTATGTATGGAAAACATACCACAAGTTTATCTTATGTTATTTTATACTTAATAAAATTGATTTAACTTGAATATAAAATTTATTATATTATATACTTTAAGACTAATTTATTATTTTAAATTAGTACTGATATATATTATTTTATATCAATATAAATAATTATATTATTTTTACTGTATTGCAATATATGGGTGAACTCAAACATCATTGAAAATAAATGGTGTGATATATTACATATAAAAAAGGTAACAAATAAAAAATATGAAGTATTTGAAAATTAAAAAATTTAATGATAGAAAATAATAAAAATCTTAACTAAAAAATTTAAGATAACATATCCACTTTTAAAGAAATATACATATGAATATATATATATATATATATATATGTGTGTGTGTGTGTGTGTGTGTGTGTGTGTGTGTGTGTGTGTGTGTGTATTATGTACTTAAAAGTTCTAGTTAAAATATATGCGTATCTTAATTATGTTTTATATTTATCATTAGCTAGCTCCAATTGATATTGTACATTAAGTAATTTTATCTGCATTTTTACTTTTGGATTTAATGATAGTTATAAGTTTTGTCATCTTTCTTACCCCTTATTTAGTTATTACAATACTAATGAAATAATTAAGGACCTTTCAAAATATCTTGTTTGCTTTGAAAAAAATTAATTCTTATTATAAATTGAACGCCAATTACATCGATAAGTATATTTTTGGAAAGTTTATATTTAATTATATTAATTATACTATTTTTGTTTAAAGTTATGTAAATTATATATATGGAGAATAAAATATGATGGCATTAGTATATTACCAATTTGCCATTCAAAACATGTGAAAGTAAGGGTTTTTTAGATAGTTCATTTTTTAATTAAAAATATAAATAAAATATGATGTGTATTAGTGTATTACTAATTTGTCATTAAATTTATATCAAAATAAGGGTTTTTTAGGCATTATGAATTTTTACAAAAACACTCCTCCTTTTAAAGTAGTATATAGAAAATTGGGCACACATTTCAATGCACACACTAGTATAATAATTACAATGATAACTTTATTAATAGTGGTAAAATTCCACTTGTTTATAACAATTTTTTACTAAAGTTTTGGCTGTTTTGAAGGGAGATTTTTTTTTTTTTTTTTTTTTTTTTTTTTTAAATAAATAAAAGGAGGAAAAGAAGAAAAAAATAAAAAATAAATAAAAAGAACAACACTCTCCTTTTCAACACAGATCTTTTCCAAGGAAGAAGCTCAAGCAAGAAGGCCCTCCTCTTGTCCGAAAAATCGGCTTCCTGTTGGGGTTGCTTATAAATCTGCAGACAAAAAGCTCTGCTTTCTTTCTAGCTACAGTACCCTTATTCCCCTTCTTCTCCTTATTCTCTTTTCAGCTTTCAATCAGTGAGATTTTTTCTTGCATGCTAACTACTCTTGTCATTTAATTCTTGAATTGTTGGTTTACCACACTGCATTTCTCATTATCTGTCTTATAACACCATTAATTATTGCATTGTCCCATTCAACATTAATTTGCCTTTAGATTCTCATAGTGTCTGGCCCTTGGGTGTTTATTTCAAAGCAACTTCTCAAAGAACAGACGCAAAAAATTCAATCTTGTTCTTGGGAATTAGAAATATTCTTCATCTTTGTTGCAGCAATATGAAATAAAAATCGAAACTTTTTTTTTTTTGACGGATTGGGATGAGTAATTGGAGGTGCATAATGCAGTTCTGTTGATACTTGTGAGCAATTTAGTGATATTTTTGTACCGAAACCTTATTCTCGGCATTAGCCGCGTTTGATGTAAAATGGAGCTAAACGGGTTAGTTAAACGCCGGGTTATGAGGGTTTCGAAGGGGTCCCGAAAACATTTTTATGGTAATCGGGTAGTTATGTGGGGTTCGCGTGATATGTTGTGCTGGTTCATTAAGGCAAGATTGGTGCTTTAACTCAATTTGGCTGAGATTAAGCTTCTATAGAAGTAGGCTTGAGCATAAATGTGCTTCGGTTTTGAGAGTTTTGCTTGTGATTCGTGGGCCTTAATTGTTTTTTAGCGCCTTCTGTATATAATTTTTTATTTATTGTATTATTGTGCTTGAGCTCTGGTTATGCCCGCTTAGTATGAAAATTAAAATAAGTCGTCTTGGTTTTGAGTTGGGCTCAGGCACTAGGTTGACTTGCCGTTGGCCTATTCACCTCACATTCTTGTTAGCGATCAATATTTACTATGATTGAGGTCCTCAAGAATCCTAGCTCTATGCTGTTAAAATTTGACTTCATTTTGATGGCATATAGTCATATACTGTGCTTGCACCTATGTTAAAATTATGCTTATATACCCAGATTGATTAAATTGGTGCAAACTTGGTGATATGGAAAATACTTTGAAATCGTGTTCACTGGTGTCTTCGAACTGCAGTTAACTACATTTAACATAATTGTACAATTTAAGTTCTTAACCTCTTAAATTGCTTTGAAATTCTTCGAACTCTTTGATTTATACTGAAATAAGAATGATTGCCACGGTTGAGTCCTTGAATCTTGTTTCTCTAAATGGGTGATATATCCCTTTTGTTATTGGAACTGCTCAATCAACTTTGACAGCAAGAAGTGACGATTAGCACTAACTTTCCATGTGAATTAGGAGACTAAATAATCTTTTCTCGAATACTCGGCTACTAATTCACTAAAGATTCATTATCTTAGTTGACTCGTATTTTCTTTGTAGTCAAACTGTTGTTCTGATATATTTAGGCAAAGCAGGTGCGAAAATTGAACAGCTAAAGCCATGGATAGCTTGGATGCTGAGAAGGTAAAGAAAATCACTTGGAAAAGAAGCAGAAGCAGGCTGGACGTGAAAGCTGATAGCGAGGACTCTTCAATAACATGCAAAGAAGGTAGTGAGAAAAGGCCGTGTTATGATTCTACACGATTTTCGTCAATTCAAAGGAACAGTAATTTGGATCAGCCCTTTGTGTTGCCCGTTTTACCCACTTCGAAGGTGGATAAATGGCGCTCGGATATTCCAACCGTTATAACCGGAACAGCTTGTAGAGGAAGGGGGCCACCTGTGGGAACTGTGGACATTGGTGTAGGAAAATCTTCGTATTACTTCTGCATTGCTCTACCTGGAGTCAAGCAGGAACCAGGTAACCTTTTTTATTATTGTTATTTGCTCATGTCGCACTTTTCAAACATAGTTTCTGTTGATGAACCTTTTTAACTTCTAATTTTTGCCAAGATTTTATTTTATTTTTCTGTATTATCTCAAGCATGGACTACATTTGTCGTTGCCAGGAGAATTCGAGTGCGATATACAAAAGGATGGGAAGGTGTGGGTTAGAGGTGTGACATCTACCGGCAGGAAAATAGTCAACAAACACTCGAGAGCTTTCGAGATGAAAATCCAACAGCAATGCCCGCCCGGGCCTTTCACCCTCTTCTTCACCCTGCCGGGGCCCGTCAACCCAGCTCTGTTTCGTCCCAATTTCAGATCCGATGGGATATTCGAAGCCGTCGTTACAAAAATATGATCAATGGTGCAAAATGTGTTTCTTCTAATGTGCATATGAAACATCGTTTTTTTTTTAGCTTTTGGTGTAACGTACTCTTGGCTGATGAAAGTCGCGCCGAACGTGTTGATGTTCTTTTTTATTTTCTTTGTCAATATCCTTTGTGAATTCACTTTACTCTTCTGGTCTTTTTTT